AGAAGCTGCACCGCAGAAGGACACCAGCTCAGCCATGCCTCCCGAGACAAGTCAGTGACAGCAATGACACTCCCACCCTCCTTTTCTGAATTGCTCCTCCTCTAGGCATTGGGTTGCTAACCGCAAGGTCAGCAGTTCAAAGCCGCCAGTCTCTCCATGAGAGAAAGACGAGGCTTTCTACTCCCGTAAAGAGTTACAGCCTCAGAAGACCACACGGGCGGTTCTCACGTGTCCTACAGGCTTGTCATGAGTCTGAATCCACTTACTCAACGGCAGTGAGTTGGTTTTTGCTTTGTTTTTAGTTTGAAAGGGTTAGAGGCTCAGAAAGCCACGGGGGCAGTTCTACGGTGTCCAGTCTGGGGTCTGGATGAGTGGGAATGGGCCGAACAGCAGTGAGTGAGAGTGAGTATTAGCATAAACTCGTCATCGGCCCCTGCCTTTGCTCCCTTACCTCCCAGGCCCCTGCTGTCAGCCTGATCCCAAACAGATGGAGGCTGAAAGAAGGCAGTGCTCGGTGCATGTAGACATTCTTTACTCATTAAGCTAAGCTTTATTTGGTTTAAAGATGATGTCAGGGATATTTTTGGTTTGAGGTTTAAAGATGATGCAAGAGCCACTGTTAGAGAGTTTTGTGTTGTTCTGCTAAAAATATGTCCTGCCCACCTCTTTGGTGTTAGAATATGCCCTGGAGATCTGAAGGAGGGAACCTAGACCTTTGGGGTGTTTGTTTTTTTTTAATAAACTTATTTGGGAATGGTGCTGTGGTGGGTAGGCATTGGGCTGCAACTGCACAGTCGGCAGTTCAAAACTACCAGCTGCTCTGTGCGAGAAAGATGAGGCTTTCTACTCCCATAGACAATTACAGGCTCAGAAACCCACAGGGGCGGCTCTACCCTGTCCTTTAAGGGTCTCTGTGAGTCGAATTGACTCAGTGGCGGAGAGTTTGGTTTTCTCTGTTTTCTTGTGAATGGACTTCCTCAGGCAGGCAGCCCATGTTATGTGACCACCATGTGTTACTATGATGCTGAACAGGTCCCAGCAGAGCTTCCAGACTAAGATAGACTAGAAAGAAAGGCCTGGCTGTCTACTTCTGAGCACCAGCCAGTGGGAAGCGCATGGTCCACTGTGCTCCAACCCCATCATGCTTGGAGCCGCCATGAGTCAGAGGGCAACTCAATGCTACGGAGCACTGGCAACGTTCATCAGGTATCCCCCAGAGTCCATGTTGGACTGGGTCGCTGCGAATCAGTCTGGAACGTTCCAGAGTGGTAAGGTTAAGATCGGATCATGGTCAACATTACTAGGAAGCCACAGGCCTAAGAGTGAGCACCCACATGCCCACGCCTTGTGCCAATTTCCAAGAACCCCCTCAACCATTTTCACAGGTGAGCCTCACCCAAAAAGGAAAACGCACCTTCATTTTATGGAACTTTAGTCTGACTCAGGACACTGTCACTTCTTGCCCAACGGCTGATGGCAAACAGCCATTGTGAACAGAAGCCATAGCTAGAAGGCAGTGAGCATTTTCCGTGTGCCAGGGAAGACTCTGGTGGTGTGGTGGGGCAGATACCTGCAAGGTCAGCAGTTCAAAACCACCAGGAGTTCTGTGGGAGAAAGATGAGACTTTCTCCTCCCATAAAGAGTTAGAAAGCCACAGGGGCAGTTCTACCCCTGTCCTTTAGAATCTTGATGCACCAGCACCAACTACAGGGCAGTGAGGCAATGCTTCCACAGGGGCCAGCGTTCAAGTCTGGCCTGCCGCCTGCCCTTGTACATCAAGTTTTAATGGACGCCCCCATGCCCATTTGTGCGTGCCTTGTCTGTTGCTGCTTTCATGCAACGGTGGTCGAGTATTGCAGCTGAGGCTCTGCGACCGACAGCCAAGAACTTTCCCTCCGACCCTTTACAGAAGCAGTGGAAGCCAACTGGACGGCAGCGCGCACGTGTGTGTGTGTGTGTGTGTGTGTGTGTGTGTGTGTGTGTGTGTGTGTGTGTGTGTGTGTGTGTGTGTGTGTGTGTGTGTGTGTTGATCTTGTGTCCTTGGCGCCATTGGACAGAGGGCCCAGGGGACAGTTCTGGGGCTTCTCTAGAGACGTGGAAGGAGAAGACATCGGACGCCAAGCATCTGAAAGCTTCTGGAAACATCTCGGAGGAAACAGTCAAGGAAACACAGTTCTGAGCAGAATTCACGTCCACTGGGAACTATTTCCTGGCACATAAGGTGACATCTCACCATCCGGCTTCTGAGGAGCACTCTGGCTGAGTGTCTTCCCAGACAGACCTGGGGTTCTTCGGGCCCCGGGCCCTGGCCGAATGCTAGGCCAAGTTCTTTGTCATCTACGCTAAGTCACAGGCGGCAGCTCTCTGATGTCCCTTAGTCATCGTCCAGCTTTCCCATACGTGAGAGGCGACTGAAAATCACCCCTTTAGTGCGTGTTCCAGAACTGACGACGTCGCGTGATTCTTAGGAAGAGAACTAAGGAGACTTGCTTGGCCTCCCGAGTCGGTTACTCCCTGCAGGCCGCAGCGAGCATCGCTAGCAAGCCCTTCCAAATGTCGCATCACGTCCACCCATGCCTGGACCCGTGACCACGAGGTTGTTACCCTGCGTTTCCTCCACTGTGTTCTCAGAGATGTTTGCAGATGCTTGGCGTCCGATGTCTTCTCCTCCTTCTGTCTCTAGAGCAGCCCCAGAACGGTCCCTTGCACCCTCTGTCTAATGGCATCAAAGACACAAGATCAACACACACACACACACACACACACACATTGTCATCCAGTCGGCTCCAGCGCACAGCGACCCAGCGCATGACAGAGTAGAATGGCTCTCAGAGGGCTTTCTTGCCAGTGATGTGTCTGGAAGTGGATCACCATACTTTTCTTCCGCAGCACGGCTGTGGCGAGGCAGGGAACCTCATCCACTGAGCGCTCTCAGGGAGTAGAGAGAATGGATAGCACATCCAGGCAGGCTCTCTTCTGTGTAAGGCGCCCATTAGGACACTTACTATGTGTGGTAGGTTATTTTTAAGAAAATGCTTCAAGCCACCCAGGCCAGGTGGTTTCCCTTCAGGTTTGTATGTGTTACTTCAACATAGGCCTCCCCAGGCCTTCTGAGATAGCTGGGGGTGGTTCTGTTCCGACTCCCAGCAACCCCAATAGCGCAGAGCAAACCACCACCAGCACCCGGCCCTTCGCCATCCTCACAGTCGTGGCTCTGCAGGGGCCATTGTTGCAACCACCAGATGGACTCATCTCATCTAAGCGCTGCTTCTTTCTCGTTTACCCCACTTGCCAGATAAGGAAACTGAGGCAGGGGGAACATCACCATCTTGTCCCAAGTCACCCAGCACATGAAGGGGCCAGGGCTGTACCCTAGGCTTCTACCTCCAGCGTCTTGTGCTCGGCCATGTGTTGGTACCTCACCGTCGAGTGCCCACAAGAAGGGTAGCTGCTTTCAGTCCACTGCATGGCTCCACAGAGCCATGCCTCTCTGCTGTTTCCCAGCCAACTCAGCCCTCACAGCTGGGTCATGGAATGGTTGACTTCTCTCAAAGAGTCTGCTGAGGCCACACACTGTGTTGCCAGCACCCAAGCCTAGTTCGGCCAGGCTCAAACCCACTGCTCAGGCAGCCAAAGGGGAGCCCTCCCTCTGCAGGAGATGCCCGAGGGGAGTTGTGTGGTCCAGGTCACTTAGCAGTGGACTGAGATGCAGAAAGTGTGCGTCTGGGGGATGCGGGGGGTAGGTTTCTGGTCGGTGTGTGCAGGAACATTGTTTGCTGCCCAACTCTGTGTTCTTGGCAAGGTACTTACCCACTCTGCAGAAAGGACACAACTTGAGTAAAAACTCCTCCCAAAGGTCTTTGCCACCCCTGATTTAGCACTGAGCTTAAGAGAATGGCCAATGGCCAGAGACACTGAAGTTCAAGTCTTGGCTCTGCCCCACCAAGAGGGCCTTGACTTTGGGTAACCCTTCACATAGCGGTTACCCATGGAGCTGCTAACCACAAGGTCAGCAGTTCAAAACCACCAGCCGTTCCTCGGGAGAAAGAAAGGCTTTCTTCTTCCGTCAAGAGTTACGGTCTCAGGAACTCACAGATGCAGTTCTACCCCATCCTGTAGGATCACTTTGAGTCAGCATTGACTCACTGGCAGTGGGCTGAGTTTTCAAACTTCTCCAGGCGTCGGAGGTGACACTTGGATCCTCACCAAATGGTTGGCAGGTCAAGGTCACCCAGCGGTGCTGCAGCAGAAAGGCCTGGCAAGCCGCTTGCATAAAGATTATAACTGAGATAGAAGGTAGACAGGTGTTCCCTTGAGCAGATGGGGAATATAATACTCTACAAGAAGGAGAAAGGAAAAGGTGGGCGACTGGGCACGGACAGGGTCGGTCAGCTGTGGGGAAGTTAGAGAAGCGGTCGAACACAAACATGATGACTTGAAGTATGAAACCCCCCCTAATTCACAATAAATAAATATTTAACTATACACATACGTATTTATTGATATTTATACATCTACCCGCACACATACATATCCAGGGGGAGAATTACAGCCAAGAAAAACACCTTTGGAAGCAGTCCTGCTATTTTGCACGTTCACCGTGAGTCAGAATGGATGTATCAGCAACAGGTGCGCTACACTGGGAGTCCCTGGGTAGCAAAGACCTTGACATTAAACGAGAGGTTGATGGCTAGGACCCACTCACGGAGAGGCGCCTCGGAAGAAAGGGCTGGTGATCTGCTTCCGAAAACCCACAGCGTTGAAACCCGCACAGCCTGCAAGTGCGCTGGGCATACGTGGACTTGGGGTCAGCAGGCTGGTTCCTTTGTTCCTTCACTCGTTGGTTTCCCGGTCCCCGAGCCCGCGCTTCCCCATCGCTGCTCAGAAAGATCAATGCCAAGTGCTCACGGTGCTGCTCATAAACGAACAGGTTTTCCTAGTCTGAAAATGACACTGGTTTACTATTGTTCCCCCAGCCTTTCCTTTCAGGCCTTCTGAGCACCATGTCCGCAGCCCCTGCCAGCAACGGCGTCTTTGTCGTCATCCCGCCCAGCAATGCCAGTGGGCTCCGCCCACCTCCAGCCCTCCTGCCCACCTCCATGTGCCAGCCTCCCGGGATCATGCAGCTGGAAGAGGCGCCCCTGGGGACGCACACACCCAGGGCCACCCAACCGACGGACCTGCGGCCCATGGAGACATTCCTGACAGGAGAGCCCAAAGCTTTAGGGGTAAGCCCAGCCTCTCCTGAGCTTTAAATGTAGAGCCTTAACCCACAACTCGCCCCGAAGTGGTCCTGAAGGCGGCTGTTGGTGTTGCTCCACCCCATTGAGTTGGTTCCAAACTGCAGCGCCCCTCAGGCACAACAGAGCAAAACATTGCCCAGTGCTGCCCCAGCCTAGCAGCTCTCCCTACACCTGAGCTCATTGGTGCAGCAGCAGTGCAGATCCATCTCCTTGAGGATCCTCCTTTTTTTTTTTTTTGCTGCCCCTTGGCTTTAGCAAGTGTGATAACCTTCTCTAAGGACTGATCTCTCCTGTTAACATCTCCAAAGTACGTTTAAATGAAGTCTTGCCATCCTTGCCTCCTGAGTCAGCAGTTGGCCTTCCTAAGTAAAGGCCGTCTGCCTTGAGCCTGGGCTCTTTCCAGGAATGACCTGTGTGAGATTGAATTGGCCAGAGCAACTGGAAAGGTTAGATGAGACACTTAGGGGGCGGCGGATGGCAGTCAGCGATGCTGGAACCACTTGGAAGAGGGGGAGGATGGCTGCCCAACGTAAAAAAGGTCTTCAGTGTCCCTGTTGGTGTAGAAACTGTTGACCTGGCATGTGACTGTGATTTTCACCAAAATCAAAATAAGTAGATAAATCAAAAGAATAGCCATGGTTCTGACCGAGGTGCAGGCAATGAGCACCCCAGCACTGGGGCATTCAAGTGGGCACACTGGGAAGCTAACAGTTGGCAAGTACTTGGTGAGGGCCGTGTCCCCCATGGAGCTCAAGAGTCAACCAGGACACAAATGACTCATTCATTCCAAGTCCAGAGACAAAGTGAGGTTCAACATTAGGAGGGATAGACATTAGCAGGGTCTCTTTAAAGGGGTGGCTTTTCTGCTAAAACCTAGATGCTGGGAGATGGGGGGAAGGGGTTACCAATGAGAAGAAACCGGAAGCAGTAGGGAGGCCGGCTTGTTGCAGGGAGGGGCAGAGCTCTGGCGTGGCTGGAACATCATCAGCTAAGGAAGGAGAGAGATGAGATGAAATTGAAGTGGTAGACGGGGAGGGCCAGCTCAGGCAGGGCTGGCAGCCTGGGACAAGAGGGCCTGTGTGCCAGCCCCACTATGAGACATGATGCCCCTCACTGACCCATGGCGCTGCCGGGGACAACACCAGTGACACAGTGTGGGAATTGCACCCGATCTGATCCCGCCACACTGAGGCAAAGCACTGGGGGAGTGCAGCGGAACAGCAGGGG